CATACATACATACATACATATGCGAATGTGCACACATATGTATATATAAAGAAATGTCGATACACATACTTCGAACATCCTCACCCAAAAAACGATTGGCGGCATACTCAGTGGAATAACTCTGGGGACGAACACTTGAGGACTGCTTTGGCAGACTCGGGGGCTAGGCACTTCAAGGACAACTCGCAGCATTCCTTGTCGGATGCGAGTGCGGGTGGAGAGTGAGGAGAAGGCCTGGCTTCAAAACTAACAACCCCCCGCCGAGAAGGGGAACAACGAGCAAAGAAGCCCTAGCCCGAGATCATTCTGCTCCGAAGCTCAAACCCCGAAAGCTTTACGTATCCTAAACCGAACAAAATCCGAGAAAGCGAGGCTGCATCTATTCCCCGAAGCAAACCCCGTGCCCAGGTCCGACACACAGAGCTACTGGATCAGCTTTCATCCGAGCCTTGGTGGGTTCAGCTTCTGAGGCTTCGTGGTAGAGAAGGTTAACTTTTCGCGTTGTTGCCGTTGCTTAAATCTTAAGTCCCTATATATCCCAAAGGTTACAATATACGTAGTTACGTAGTTCTCCGATAGCATGCTGGGCAAGTAAGAGAGACCGTAACTGTTGGAGGAATTATGATTAACATAGGTGCCTTCATAGTTACCTATACTATTGTAGGGGTTCCCGATTATAAGTACAGTATAATACAGCCCGAAACCCTGTTCTAGTTGTTAAGGCCCCTAACCCCTAAACCCTTATAGTAGCCCTTATAGAGCCCTTTAAGGAACCCTTTCAAGGAACCCCTGACAGGAACCCCCTACTCTAATTATCCTAAACCCTAAATCCTAGGCAGCCTAAGGCCTTCGACTCCTACAAGGCTTGAAGCTAAGCTTCTTGGGGTTGTGGTCGTTTAGGGTTCAGGGTTTAGTTCCGGGCGAGAGAAGCCTGCTGCAAAAGGTTTAAGGGTTTATGGTACTTGGTCCTTAACACCCCAAAGAGCCCGAAGTAGGTATTTTCTATAGTTAATTTGGACCTCAGCATAGCTATCGTTTGCATATGTTTGTGTAGTTTGGGTGGGTTGTTAATGCTGTTCCCAGAACACTCTATCCACCTTCTTCTGTACAACGAATGCCTGGTACTACGGGCCGGAGAGCCGCATGCAAGGGTAGGTGCCTAAACAATTGCCAGTAGCATTTGTTTTGTGCCGGGAGGGGGGGGGGGGGGGCCNNGGGGGGGGGGGGTCCTTGCTATAAGTATTGCACAAGATTTTCTAGTTGTTCAGGCCCCTCTAGTAGAGGCACGGTCTTGCAGCCTTAGGGCGCCCCGGCAGACCATCAACCCTGCACAAACATTAAGCTCTAGAGCCGATAAGTCCTGAACCCTGAAAAGCCTACATCTCTGACCCTGCGAGTTGGAGAAGAGGCACTCAAAAAAACGCTTAAATCCTCAAGCCCTAAATTAACCCAGAAATCTGCTTTCGGGATCCTGCGAGACGGAAATTAAAGGGCCGTTCAAAAACCCTAAACCCTAAAGAACCAAAAGAACCAAAAGAAGCCCAAACCCTAAAAGCCTTGAATCCTCAACGGTTTTAACCCCAAGCCATTGAAGTCGCAGGTTTTGTTGGCCCCGTTTGCACTAAACCCTAAACCCTCTACCGTACCCTAAACTCTAAACCCTAAACTCTAAACCCTAAGCCCCAAGCCCTAAAACTTGCGCCCGTCACGACTCTCTCGAAGCTTAGTTCCCTGCAGCGCGACGTTGTCAGCGAAGCGGGTGGGAAAAACGCCCTAAAACCGAAACCCTAAACCCTAAACCCTAACCCCTAAAAGCTAAACCTCCAAGGAGCACTTGGTCGCCAAAGGGCGGCTGCGGGAGTCGGAGCGGCTCCTGGAATCTCGGCTTGGGTCGTCTCATGTGGGAGTTTCCGAAAATAAGGGGGACCGTATTCTGGGGTCCTTATAATAAGGGTCCTATTATTTGGGGTACTATATTCGGGTCCCCTATTTTCGGAAACTCCCATGTGGTTTGGGGTTTAGGGTGTAAGGTATATAGGGTTTAGGGTTGATAGGGTTTTAGGGTTTATAGGGTTTTGGGGTTTAGGGTTTAAGTTTTGGGGTTTAGGGTCTAGGGTGTAAGGTTTGGGGTTTAGGGTTTGAGGTTCAGGGTTTATGGTTTAAGGTTTAGGGTTTAGGGTGTAAGGTTTGGGGTTTAGGCTTATAGGTTCGGGGTTTAGGGGCTTGGGCTTATGTCGTTAGGGGCTTAGGCCGCAGGGGCGCAGGGCTTGGGGTTGGGGGTTAGGACGGTTTGGGTTTGGGACTTTAGGATGTTAGGGTTTAGGGTTTAGGGTTTAGGGTTGCTTCTCGAGATTTCAAGGCTTCGTATAGGGCGGTGGGTCAAAGCTATGTCGAGAGACATTGGAGCTTCTGAGATTAAGTTTGTTTCCAGGGGCTGTTACCCTGAACCCCTAAGCCCGCAAAAACTCCTAAACCCTGTAAGCTTTGGGGTTTCAGAGTTTAGGGATGTTTAGGGTTTGGATGGCTCCTAGCCATGGCTGGGCACCCGAACTTGCCTTTGTTTTTGCGGCTGCTTTGGCGGTTTCGTTGGTTCTGGGCACTGTTTTTTTTTTGAGGTATTCCCAAAGGGTCCTAAGTACCTGTATAGTAGAATGTATGGTTTCTATGTTAGGAATTACTATTATGATTTAAGGAAGTATCCCCCATAACAGTACATAGGACCCTTTGGGATTCAGCTGGACGTAGTTCACCAGGTTGTCCCTACGAGTGAGATGCCTACACCGGAGACCAGTTGTAGCGTGCTTGTTGCTCCGGTACTTAAAGGATCCTGGGACTTAGTAAGTAGGGTTATAACTAAGGTAACTATACTTATAACCCCAATTCAGGGACTTATAACCTTATTTACTAAGTCCCATGATCCTTCAAGTAGGGACATCTAGGCTGGCACGTGAGCTTCTTACCTCTTTCGGTCGCGAGGGTTGTTGGTTTAGTTAACGCCAAGTTGTCAGCAGGTTTCACACCGTCTGAAAATCGAGTATTGTTGTCTCCAGCTAGCGCTTGCTCCAGCACTGACAATGCTCGACGGAGCAACTTGGAGCATACCTGGGCCCTGAAAGCATGTAGAATATTAGCCCTTGAAAGGTTTTGGACCATCTTTTCACCTACTTTTGTGTGTTTAGGTAGCATGTACTGATTGTTGGTCTCCCTCATGTCAAGCATGGTTGGTGATGGTCGAGCGTCATGGCCGGGCCGTCCGGGTTTGTGGTCGAGTTTAGGGGGTTTGGGGTTTAGGGTTTCTTGTCTGGTTTCACGGTGAGGGCAGTGCTGCTATCGGTCCTCTGAGATGTCTGACCGCGCACCCTAAGCCTCACCTGGCGAGCTTGAGCGTGAGAGCATAAGCCATGAAAAGCAAGGCACCCTAAACCCTAAACCCCCCCTTAAAGGAAACCTTGAGGGAGCCCTAACCACACCTCAGACTAAACTCCAGAACCTTTGAGTTCCTTATGAGTCAGCGGTTGGGCTTCTTAGTATAATGAAGGAATCTTTCCTACACTTAACTTAACCAATACAGTCATACAAGGGTTCCTCATTTTACCAAGATACCACTTTCAGCCTGAAGCCATGAACCTTTGCTCCTATAGGACGACCGAGCACTCGAATGAATTTAGGGGTCTTATATTATAGGAGCCCTGAATAATTAGCATGGGGTTTGGGGTTTTTTATACTAGAATTACAATAAGGAGCCCCAAAACCCTATTCTAATTATTAAGGCCCCACATTAGGCTAAGTACTAATACCATTCCTTCGGCTTAGGGCTTTGAGGGCTCAGGGTTAACGGAGGCCTGGATGCAAAAAATTAAAAAGGGTTCAGGGTTGTTAATATGTAGAATATAAGATACCCCCCAAAAAAACCCTAATCGAATTATCAAGGCCCCTTCATCTGTTCTAGATCCTATGAGTCTTAAGGTACCCCCCCCAACCGAAATCTAATCATCAAGGCCCCTTCATCTCTTCTAGATCCGATGAGCTTTATGAAGGAGAGAGACGGCAGCCGCCCTACGGCCCGCGTGCGCTTTGCTGGAGAGCCTGTGGATGCCCTCAGCTACTTCTTAGGCAGGGCGGGGCGGGTATACGATCTAAGATACCATAACAAGGGAACTTTTGTTTGCTGGAGATCCCTCTTATGGTAACCTTAGGGAGTTTTGAGCTCGGTTTTTCTGCTGATCAAGATTTGAGCGTTGTTGTGCGTGGGCTTCCTGAGTTAGCTGGCAACTGATGTGGAGCCATTTGGTTAAGAGCTCTCTCCGAGCCTTTGCAGAAGGCGCAGGGCCAGGTGTTATGGTCCAGGTTTTGGACATGGGCGGGGTTCTTAGAATCGTTTGCTTGATATCACAGCCCTAAGCAAGTTGAAAACGAATACTCTGTCCAATACTCACCTGAATCGAAGAAGGCCCACTAAACCCTAATCCCTAAACCCTTTTCAAGCCCAGTTACAATCACTTCTAAGGGTCCCAAGACGCGAAGCCACATAAACCTAAGGCAACCTTGAACTCAGAAACCTTCAAAAACCTTCCGCCCTGAATTAGAGGTAATTACAGGTGGGGAGTTTAGGGTATATAGGGCTTCTATAAGGCTTCTACCAGGTATAGACCTTCTATAAGGCTCCTATAACGACAACTACCCGCCAGAAAATGTCCTAGACTGAAAACCACAATCTTCCAACCACGCTTCCAATCACTAGACTTCGGCATCCCGAGCAAAAAAGGGGGCCTTACGAATTAGAAGAGGGTTTGGGGATAGAATGTAGCACAAGTACAGTTACTTAGACAGATCCTGGGAGAACGTTGTGCCTCTTTGGCCTGATATATAGGATTTAGAGTTTAGGGTAGATTTGGGCTATCGAATCGTAAACAGTTTGAACTTTTCTGGGCTCGGGTATTGAAGAAGCGAGATTAGCAAGGAAATCTAAGGGAATTATGTTGATAATTATTCAGCCAATGGGATAACTTTAGATTTTTTGGCCTTATATTTCTTATCTGTGCGCATTGGAAAGTCTGAACTTTTTTGGACTCGGTTATTGAAGAAGAGGTTCCTATAGTAATCTTGGAAACTCGATCCAGGACCCTGATCTGCCTTCAGCAGTAGCTTACTCGTCACGGTCGCCAGGCGAGATGCAGGACAAGCACCAGCTCATCCAACAGGAGCAGTGAGCTTAGGATGATTCTATGCCTAATATGTTGCGATTGAGCTGGTGTTATTACTGATGCCCTCCTTCTTACTGTTGCTAGTGTTATTCTATCCAACGGTTCCTTGTTACTGCTCTCTGCTGCCATGACGACCCATGGCTGCGTTGCCGCTCTCATTCTGATACTTACCCTGCTACATGCATGGAACTGCTGACGCTCGGGCCAGGCACTTCTGAAGGGAGATATGAGTCTTGGGTTTTAGGGTTTAAGCTGTATCACAGTTGGGTAAGGTGTTGAATTTTCATAATTTTACAGGTACTTAAACTCAAGGAATAATAGCACTTCAGTTTTTGATACTATCCCAACCATGAACTAGTAAGGAGAATATAGTCTGCTTGCATATGCATGCAACCCCGAAATCTTGGATCCATGTTTAAGCGAAGCCCCAGAGCCCCTGAACACTGCAATGTTGGGTTTAGGGTTTAGGGCTTAAGGTTTCTAGGGTTTGGGGCTTAAGGCTTATAGGGTTTAGGGCGTAAGGTTTATAGGGTTTAGGGCGTAAGGTTTATAGGGTTTAGGGCTTAAGGCTTATGGGGTTTAGGGTTGCTTTAGAAATGCCTTGAACCCCTTATTAAGGATCTCTCTTTGTGGTATAGCTAGATTCACGGTATAGTGGTTCATATAAAGGTCCCTACCCTAAACCCTAAACCCTAAACCCTAAACCCTAAACCCTAAACCCTAAACCCTAAACCCTAAACCCTAAACCCTAAACCTTAACCGTGGGTTGTGGAGCCTGGTAAGTTAGTATGTCAGAGCTTGGGGTTTGGGGCCTAGGGTTTGAAGGAGTTTAGGGTAGACGATTAAGAGACCCTGGGCCGTTTGTAGGGCTCCCAATATGAACCCGTAATGTATTGGGGTTCTAGGGTTTCGGGTTAGGGGCTAGGGTCTCTCATCCCAGGCATGAGAGACTGACTGGTTCTGGAGTTTGTTCTGTCGGCCTCCACCCTAAACTCTCCACTTGCGACTCCCGAAAATTCATTTCGAGCAGCCGGAGCTTCGAAGCTTTTTGCGATCGAGCGTTTTGAAGCTCCGGGCAGCCCCCTATGCAACGCCATGCCGCGCTGAAATTACTTTTCGAATATACATAAATCAATTCAATTTGAGTTGCTTTGTTCAAACCTTTTCTCGAAACTTATCCTAAGACTTTCCCCGGACATGAACCTTCAATGATTTTTGAATTATTCATCTAAAAACATTAACTACTTGAAAATCCGCGGATCTTTCCCTCGAAACTTTTCCGAGCCTGAACCCCTAATAATTTCAATCCGGCCCCTGTAACTTGAAATTCTTTTCATTAATCAATAAACTAATTGATTGAGTCTAAACTTTAGCAACCTTCACTACTCCTCGAAGTATCTCAAAGCTTTCCCCGAACTTCCCCAAAAACTTTCCCCAATACTTTACCCAGACTTGAGCCCTGAATATGATTTGCTCCCTTCAGGGAAACCATAGCATGACAAACACAGCAGGAAAACAGACTCTACATAATCTTTCTCGACGCCTGAGGAAGAGAGCCATGTCGTAGTCTTCTGCTCCTAGTCGGAAAAATCAACAGGTCAATAGGCGCCCAGGTGATGTGGCGACCCCCGCCCCCGCAGCTGCTGGAGGCATCAAAACGAAAACGTGCCTCTAAGAGACATGATGACAAGATGAAGTTCTGTCCTCACGTCCAATGCATGGTGATTGGCCTAAAGGTGGTCCGAAAACTTCGGACTACCCCCCAGCAAAGCAGCTGCGTGCAAATCTTGGGAGCACAGCGTATCTACCACCTTGCCCACGTAGTTTTCGGCTTGTCTTATATATGCTGCGCACGCCACATGTGCCATTCGATAAGCCAAGCGCACACATTGCAGTTGCTGAAGAGCTGTGTTCGGATCCAGTGGTGCAAGATCTGCATGCGAAAGCTCTTGCAAGTAGTCCTGGGCGCAATCTTCCATGCAGTGCTTGCCGACGAATTGGATGCGGAATATTTCCAAGGCACAGCCAGGCATGTGTGTGCGGCTGCCTCGGAACAAGCCCTGCAACTCCGGAATTGTTTCATGAAGTCCAAGCATCTCGAGCAAGAACACCTTGTCCATCGGAGGGCTTCGCTCTCCCAGTCTCCATCTTCCTCCTTGCACCGAGCAATTTGATTTGGAGGCAAGCCCTGATCAGCTGCAGGGGCTTCTGGTGCAGGAAGCAATTCAAAATCATTTCTCGAGACTGTTGGTGCGGCAACCCGCTAACCAAGCCGCCAAAGAAACGCTCCAAGGCCGCCCAGGTTCTGCCTTTCAACTCTGGTGTCGGGACCTCAGCGATATTCGGTGTAGCTGCGCGAATCCAGCTCGCGGAGCAGCTTCAGTGCCTTGCTAATGGCACTGTGGGAGATTTTGATAGGACTTTGCGTTTCACATTTCACAGCGTTGCGCAAAGGAGTGTTCCCCATGCTCTCCCCAACATGCCGTTGTGGAAGCAGCCCAGGAAGTTGCATATGTTTGTGAAATCCACTACGCCTCCCAATCAGAAAGGGCCTCGGAACTGCTGGGTGGCTGTCACAGAGGTCACTAAGTCGGGGTCGAAGCTGACGTCAACTTCGTCGCCATTGTGGTCGCCCCCCGACAAGCCAAGCAGTCCGGGTGCCTCGCAGTCACCATCTTCACCGTTTTCCTGCACAGACCTTGTGCAGATAATGGCGTTGTTCGGCACGCGCTTAACGTGTGGTGGCAGCGGCTTTGCCCACACCTCGGCAGGCAAATAGCACAGAGGCAAATAGCACAGCGCTGGCTAAAGTATAGAGTCCTGAAAGCTGCTGCACCCCCCCCCCCCTTGCGGCCTGCATGTCAGCGGGCACCATGACGGCTGCGCAGCACTACGACCTGGCCACATAGCACCGTTCCCTGCTGCACAATGTGCATTCGCGGTCCCAGTGTCTTCCTGGGATCACGAATGGCGCGCCTGCGGCATATTTGGCTAGCCGCAGCGATTGCGGCCCAGAATGACGCTGTCTTTTACGTCCAACTGAAGAGCCCAACGCATAGATGGAAATGTCCCTCATGCACTGGCACGGAGGTCACTCCAATGTAGATCCGGGCCTTTTGCGGGAAGCGCAAGGGGAAACAGCCATCTGCAGCTGTGCATATCAGGGTCGTTGCTGCCCTGTCAAATTTCCCCAAGTTTCAAGCGACGCACCTAACTCGCTGCAGCGTCATGTTCCTGAGCCGAGCCAGCCAGCCCGAAACTTGAAACCGAGGAAACGGCCTGGGCGCCATGCTCTGCCGGTAGCTGGAAATTCAGGAGATTTACCCACATCTAGCTAGGAACTTTGGAATCTGTAGAATGTTGCCGGCATGGAAACAACACACGATGAAGTGTCTAGCAATCGAGCCGATGACAATACTTCAGGCAATCCCCTGGCCTCGATGCCACGCTGCTCTGGCGAACCCTAGACCCGCAGCTTATGAAAAAGCAGTATCGCTACAGTCCTTGCCAGGCTTGTCCGAGTGTAAGTGCCAAAAAACCCCCAGGATTGCGCACCGGGATCCAAAACAACGGTCAAAGCACCAATAACTGCTGGGCGCCGCACGAGGCACCGAGTCCGGGAAAGCGCACAAAGCACCGGGAAAAAGCCAAAAGGGCACCCAACACCGAGGGTTTTTGAAAGAACTTGAAAGGCGTCAAGCAGCACCACAAGGCTGAGATGCTCGATTTATTTAACGAGGTTCCTGAGTAGTACCCTTTTGCCCTTTTTTTGTATGGTTCCCTTTTCAAAAATGAATAACCGGGACAAGGGTACCCTTATTATTAAGGCTTATTAAGGTGTCACTGAGGAACCTAGGTAATGCCTCCTCTCCCTGCGCAAGCAGAAAACCCAAACAACTTAAATGTTCGATTTACTTAAGCCTCCTTGTCTGCCCAAGCACAAGGCAGTTCACGACAACTCCACAAGATGCTCAACGGCGAAGCCCCTAACATTTTAAGTTTTCAACTTGCCCGGCGTGCGCTTCACTTCGAAGCTTGTCTTCGTAGCGTCGAATTTCAAGAAAAGTCGTTAGAGCTTCACAGTGCTTGCAAACCCCGCACCGCAAAAGCCCAACACCCCTCAATCGAGCAACATTCATCGAAATTTGAGGAGCGGTAAATATGGCGTGAGGTAGGATATTCGTTAATTACTGTAAGGAAACCCTGAAGCCCTGAAGCCTACCACTCTAAACCCCAGGAGCAGGCCAGAATACGACAGGAATCGGCCTCGCTGGGAGGCGTGAACTCGCACTGTGCCTTCGTCACCTTCGGCACGCGCCGGGATGCTGGGCTCTTGTTCAAGACTTTAGTTTAAGATACCATAGTAAAGAAGTCTGGTAAATAATAGTGTTTCCTGATTCTAGTGTCTTGAATGATAAGCTCCTTAACATGAGCCAAGGATGCGGCGATCGCGAAAACTTTGGATTTCAGCCAGGACAGCAAGCTTTGCACATGGTTTTTGATTGAAGTCCCTTCAACACAGCAAGGTACCAATTTGGAGGTTCTACGGTCCAGATCCTTTCGGGGGTCTGGAAGGATTTAGGGTATAGGCATCAGGGACGGTGGAGTTTAGCATTGGCGCTGCCGCTAGCGATCTTTTTCTGTTCTATCCAGCTTCTAGGTGAAACCTTATATCCCGAAACCTCCTTTCATTGCAGAAAGAAATACTCAAAAACGATACACGCTCTGCACCGCAGAGCCTAAAACTCAAAAAGCATTTATTCCAGCAATAACGCCTTGAATGACCCTGGGGTAGGCTGTGCCGTGGTTCAGTCCAACAGTCGATACAGGGTTTAGGGTTTAGGGTTTAGGCACCCCCAACGTATCGACCGACAGCTATAAGGTGAGGCTAGGACCCCCATCCAAAAGCCGACGAGACCCCTCTTGAACCACAACCCCTACTAGCGGGTGCGGGGTGGGCTTCTCTCACTGCAAGACTTCCGACAGCAACTAATTGAAAAGCTTGGTGTATCATGTAGCTCTCCGCCATGTTACGAACCAGCCGTGTCAGAGTCTGAACAGCCCAAGAGCTTTCATAAGATCCTGACAAAAAACCCTTCAGACCCATATACAAGCTTTAGCCAAGACACTGGGTGATCAGGCCTTTATAAACCCCAACCCTCCACAGAGGACGGAGGACACTGGGTGATCACCGACGCCCCCGACGCCTCCACGATCCGCTGGGGGAAGCTGTCAATGGAGCCCACACTTCTGCGAACGGTGAGCGGTACTTGGGCTGGTTTGGGTTTAGGGTTTAGGGTTTAGGGTTTAGGGTTTAGGGTTTAGGGTTCAGGATGTCGGGCGTAGGCTGCGGGTGCAGAGTTCAGGGTTAAGGTTTCGAGGGTATTCGTTTTGGGATTTTTGCTTTGGGGTGATACGGCTCAGACGTAAGACTTCCGGTTAAGGATTTAGAGGCAACGGTATGTTGGACCCTTGAATAGTTCTTTCGATAAAACTAATGTCCCAAATCTCTGTTCTAACGATGAAGGCCTTTCCTTTGCAGAATTTAGCGCGATGACAAGATTGGGCCGAACGCACCGCGCAGAAGCTTGCATGTTCGTATTTACTTTGTTTTGTGTAATCAGTCCCCATGTCAAATCCTGGTGCTTTGATTGGGACTTTAGATACAAGAGGGCTCGAATGCAAGACTCACATACTTTCTTAAGCCGGTTGACCTCGCAGGCTAGTGTTTCTTTAGTGTGGACTGTTCAGAAAATTCGCGTCTTTCCGTCAGTCCCTACAAGACTCTAATACAGGATCCATAACAGCCATAACAGATAACGGCTCGTTAAAAGAACACTCCAAAAGCTATTACGAACCCTTAAGTTGTGTTCGCGGAATGTTCGCGGGATTTAGAAACCCCTGTTTTGCTCTTTGTCTAACACGACTATGAGTCTGAGCTTAAAACCTGAAGCCCTCCATCCTACAACCGGGCTCCTTTCAACACGCAGCGTAAACCCTTCTTGATCAAGGAAACATGTTATTCCCATCCTTTGACTAGGGCTACTCCTTGCAACTTGGATCAATGGAGTGATCCCTGATACCTGCACTGACACTGACCCTCTGGCCCAAACCCTCCCTATCCGACAAGCCTGCCCAATATGGGCTTTGGAGCGCAAGCAACAGAAAAGGCCCTTAAAACAAAAAGCATCCCTATATCCTAAGCCATATAGCAAGCCCAGAAAGGCATCCTGCTCATCACTTTGCTCTACGCGGGCTTCACCCCGATCTGCGTTGCCATCTCCAACCTGGCACAAAGCTTGGACCTAGGCTCCAAACCCTAAGGGGAGGAGGGGGCACGTGACCCCTGCTAGCTGCGAGAACTTAGGGACTAGTAGTGGAGACCCCGAGTGTTAGGAGATGCCCTCCCCTTATTTAGAGGGCTCAGAAGAAGGATCTGTGGATAATATTACTGCTCTCAAAGCAAGGATGCTTATTAACCAGGGGTTTACGTGATTCCTGAATAAAAAATCACTCTCCGGAATCCGTGGACCCCGGAGATATGCCCTCAGCTCGAAAATCCTGAGCCCCCAAGACCCGAAACCCTGACAGCTCCCAACCTCGTCATGCTGTTGCCTGAGTGATAGCCATAAGCTGCCTTGGGGTTGCTAGTTGTATGTGTCTGTTCAAAAACTCCGAGGGCCTCATTTTTATCCTACAGAGCTGCACCCGACACGCTAGGAGTCTCGGAAGACAAGCATACGAAAGTCGCGCCTATGAACACCCTCATCAGCCTGAGTTTTCAGACATGGGCGATACTGCCACCGCTGCTACTGCTACCGTTGCCGCCGGTGCTGCTACCACTGCTGCTGCCACTGCTACTGCTGCTGCTGCCACTGCTGCCGCCGGTGCTGCCACTGCTGCTGCTGCTACTGCTAC